GAGAAGAAAAGGAAAAAGGGGGGCGCCGCCCCTCCCTCCTTGTCCAATTTGGACTAGGGGGAGAGGGGGCGCGCGGCCTGCCCTGGCAGCCCCTTCCTCTTCTCCACTTTAGGCCCATGAGGTCCATTAACCCCCTGGGGGGTTCCGGTAACCCCCCGGTGCTCCGGTTTTATCCGAAACTTCTCCGGAACACTTCCGGTGTCCGAATATAGTCGTCCAATATATCAATCTTTATGTCTCGACCATTTCGAGACTCCTCGTCATGTCCATGATCACATCCGGGACTCCGAACTAACTTCGGTACATCAAAATGCATAAACTCATAATAACTGTCATCGTAACGTTAAGCGTGCGGACCCTACGGTTCGAGAACAATGTAGACATGACTAAGACAAATCTCCGGTCAATAACCAACAGCGGGACCTGGATGCCCATATTGGCTCCTACATATTCTACGAAGATCTTTATCGGTCAGACCGCATAACAACATACGTTGTTCCCTTTGTCATCGGTATGTTACTTGCCCGAGATTCGATCGTCGGTATCCAATACCTAGTTCAACCTCGTTACCGGCAAGTCTCTTTACTCGTTCTGTAATGCATCATCTCGCAACTAACTCATTAGTTGTAATGCTTGCAAGGCTTATGTGATGTGCATTACCGAGAGGGCCCAGAGATACCTCTCCGACAATCGGAGTGACAAATCCTAATCTCGAAATACGCCAACCCAACATGTACCTTTGGAGACACCTGTAGAGCACCTTTATAATCACCCATTTACGTTGTGACGTTTGGTAGCACACAAAGTGTTCCTCCGGCAAACGGGAGTTACATAATCTCATAGTCATAGGAACATGTATAAGTCATGAAGAAAGCAATAGCAACATACTAAACGATCGGGTGCTAAGCTAATGGAATGGGTCATGTCAATCAGATCATTCATCTAATGATGTGATCTCGTTAATCAACTAACAACTCTTTGTTTATGGTCAGGAAACATAACCATCTTTGATTAACGAGCTAGTCAAGTAGAGGCATACTAGTGACACTCTGTTTGTCTATGTATTCACACATGTATTATGTTTCCGCTTAATACAATTCTAGCATGAATAATAAACATTTATCATGATGTAAGGAAATAAATAATAACTTTATTATTGCCTTTAGGGCATATTTCCTTCACTATTTTGAATGGTCAGAGAATTTTTGGGGGCAATCTGTGGTGATGTAGCATTGATTAATCATTCACCAAGTTTTAGATTTTCTTGCTAGTGTTAATCACTTTATAGCAAGTTTTATATTTTCTTGACACTTGTACACCACGACACCATTCCACATGGGTCCTCACCCTAATAGCTTCGTACATTTCTGAAATTCTTCTAGTCCCCCTTTGATGACATAGAGTTACCCACATCCACAATCATACTAGTTTCTTCCAGTTTTAGGTGATGTATGATACATGCACCATTTTATGCAGTACACAACTCAAATGATTAGGGCTCTCTGATCACTCTTGCGACATCGAAAAAAACAAAGAAGCTCAAAATTTAGTGTTGCAGAGAAAGAAAATAGAATCAGAAAGGGGGGAAAGTAACATAAAGAAGGAAGAAAATGTTATTGCATCTCCAATATGTGCCCTATTTTAGGGCACCAAAGTTGGCTTGGAGCAAAATTTGCAACACCAAAACATCCATCTCCAACAGATGCCCTAAAATAGAGCACCTCCAAACATGCAAACAATTTTTTTGAAAGCACATTGCATAGTCATGTCAAACAATTTAAAACATCCAAACATTGCAACGTTTTAAACTCTAAACATAAAGATCGTCCTAATACTTGATCACCCTAAAGCATAAATATCACTACTCATCCCCCACATAGTCAGTGTCGATGGAGTTCCAAAGCTGAGTTTAACTCTCCTCCTCCCACTCGAGGTTGATCACCATCGAGGGGCTAGCCTCCTCTCGCTCCTCATTCTTCTTCTCATGGTCTCACTTCTAGAAGAATTCCTCCTTGTATTGGACGCACCGTGGATTCTCCTGCCCGAACCTCGCCATAGCCTCCGCATTGCTCTTGTTGGGAAAAACGCGTATGTCATCTCCTCCTCCTCATTGCAGGATACAATGGTCATCGGCGGATCGATGAACTCCGCATCCTCCTGGGTTGCGATCTTCCGGAAGTTCATTTCCTCCTGCGACTGGCCGAACCGCCAAGCGGTGACGTTGTAGGCTCGCCCGGCGAGCTTGCCCGTCTTGAAAGTGCCGAGACAGTAGAGATGGTTGTCGCACTTGAAATCTACACCAAAGTGGTCGGAGCCCCACGTACGCACCCCCTTGAAGCTCGACTTGCTTTTGGACTTGAGCTTCCGCGGCATGTCGACGACACGGTGACAAGAAAGAGACAACGGAGTGCTGCAGTCGCGGCGTTGGAGGTTGGTGCGACTACGCTGACGGCGCGGAGGTGGAGCGGCGTTGGGATGGGGACTTGCGACGGCCGAATATCGGCCGGTGAGGCTGCTGCGGTGGCGTGAAGGTGGTGCGTCGGAATGGGGTTGCACGACGCCGATTGAGTCGTTGCGGTGCGCGGCGGCGGCAACGAGGGGTAAATTTGGCAACAGAGGTGGTGCGGGAAGGTTCCATGCAGCGGTTGGACGTTCGCGCGACTGCTTTTTGTTTTGTAACGGCCGCTTAAGTGTTGCAAATTTGCAGCATTTGGTGTAGAAAGCGGTTATGCCCTATTATAGGGCACCTATTAGAGATGCTCTTAGCTCCCATAAAATAGGAACAAGAGATATCCATCTTCCATATGACTATATTGTTGTTCTTGTTGTTGTTGTTGTTGGCGTCAAAAAAATCAAGACGCTCAGAATCTAGTGTTGCAGAGCAAGAAAACAGAATCATCATTCAGAAGGGGGAAAAAGTGACAGAAAGAAGGAACAAGCGTCAGCTCCCATAAAAATGGCGAATCCTGTATTATTCCACTGAGATATCCATCTTCCAGATGGCTCCGTTGCTGCGTTTTTCGGGGTCAGCGCAAGAGAAAAACAACAAGAACACCGTAGCTTCAGGTGTGTATTTTCGCTGTACAAGATCTGGCAAATGCTGGAGGGGAAGGCGCCATCATCAGGGCTCGGTCGCCGGCAGCCTGCTCCGGACCGTGTGCTCCGGCTTATGGGTGCTCTCGAAGTCCGCATGGACAAACGCCCGCTCCACTTCCGGCAGCTTCTCGATCCTCTCCTGCAGCGACTCCCCGATGGCGTGCGCCTCCCGCAGCCGCATGTCCTCCGAGAGCTCGATGTCGACCTGGCGCCGGACCCGGAGAAGAAGAATGTACTCCATGAACTGACCTCAAGTGAATTTCAGATGCATGCTCTGTGTGGCCATGAACTGACCTCGACGAAGTAGAGGGCGCCGAAGCTGTAGGCCCGGACCGTGTCGACCCGCTGCACGCGCGCGTCGTGCTTCATGGCGAGGTAGGTCAGCATCTGCAGCATCTCCGGCGGCGCGCTCCGCCCCACCAGCGAGACTACACAGATCAGAAGAATTCAGAGCTCCAGTTTAGTTTCTACTGAACCAGAGCAGCAACTGAAGATAAATTCAGAAGATTCGGGGAGCAGACCTGCTTGCTCAAGCACGGTCCCGGACCAGTTCGCAATGGTGTACACGGCGAGGAGCACGGCCCCGGCGGGGTCGATCCACCACAGGAACCTGTCTCCCAGGACGGCGGCCACCAGGCCGACGACGTTGGTGATCACATCGAAGTAGTGGTCCTGGACGGCACAAGGCAAAAATTCCGCATCACTTTTCTCAAGAATCTATTCTGCATCGGCTCAAAAAATGGCAAGGCCAGGTCGTCTCTTTCTTTCTTTCACCTTGGCGTACGCCCGGACGATGCTGTTCCCCGAGCTCCTGCAGTAGAACCAGAGGGCGAGCTTGACGGCGGTGGCCGAGAGCATGATGGAGTAGAGCCATGTCAGCTGCTCCGAGGTCAGCTTGTCGCCGGGCTCGTTCTCCACCAGCTGCTCGATCGCCTGCACCAGGACCTGGAAGCCTGGCACGAATTGAGGGACGGAATTCACTTCGATTTGTGACCGACAAGAAGCAAGCAAGAACTGTGAGTCTGTGGGGAGATTTGGGGCTCACTTCGCACCTAGAGTGGCCATGATGGCGGCGAAGACGATGATCCCCACCGGCTGGACGCGCAGCTTGCCGATGGGGTACTTGTAGATGTTCACCTTCTTCATGGAGAGGTGCGTGAACCAGAGGATGCCGCCGGCCATCAGGTCCAGCAGCGAGTCCAGCGTGGACGCCGCGATCGCCATGGACCCCGTCCTGATCGTGGCATACACCTGCAGCCCGAACGAGTCAGAATCAGAGCGTCAGAGCGATCGATTTCGCTTCCCCCGTCGCGCAATTGAGCCAATCAATCAATCACCTTGAAGGCCAGGAGGACGATGTTGGCGTAGTTGGATATCTTCATGGCGAACTCGCTCTGCTTCTGCTCCTCGTCGTCGGCGTCGTCGGCGTCGGGGTCGCCATCGTCGTCCGAGCCGAACTCGCCGGGCATGCACAGGGCCTCCACCTCCTCGAAGGTCCTCAGCGCGGCGAGCTGCTTCCTGTAGTACTCCCTCTCACCTGCGCGCGGCAAAAATTGGGGGACGAACTTGTCGCGGCGCTCCTCCATGGATTAAGCAAGCGGCGAGCTGGGGGAGGAGGTTACCTTGGGAGAGGTCCTTGACGCGGGCGACGTCGACGTCGGCGCCGCGCTCGGGGTCCAGCTCGGTGCGCATCTTGTCCGGCAGCCGGCGCAGGAAGCTGCTGCGCAGCGACCGCGCCGAGTCGCGCCGCCGGAGCGACGGCCGTCCGGCGCCGTTGGCCAGCAGCGGGGCGCTCCGGTCGTCGCCCTCCATGGCCGTCCGTACGCCTTGACTCCGACGTCGGGTACGGCCGGCTGGGAGTGGGAGGTCAGGTTTTGGCTGCCTTCGCCCTTCTCAGCAGGCGCACCGGATATTTCCAAGTTCGCCTTTATATCTACGGGACAAAGCTTCGAAAATGTTCCCCTCTTTGGAGGTCAACAAACAAAAAGAAAAAAACAGTGGGATCTTCCTGATGGACGGCTCAGATTTCGTCTTCCACCTTGGTGGTCACACGTTTTGATTGATGGCTGCGTTTCCTCTGCCCTTCTTCATACTCCAAATCTAATGTCGCCGTCCTACTCCCGTCAAAAGCAGGTAGCCATGTATACAATTACTCAACTATCACGAATTCCTCTAGAGACGATAGCGAGTGAAGTTTGTTTTAAATCTTTAATTCATACGGAAGAACATCCGGGGTTGAAGAATGACCGAGATCCGTGAGTACTACATAATGATTTTAGGGATTGAGATGTTAGGGGTCGATTTCTACGAGCCACGTGAGTTAAATGTTTAAAACAGACCTCACTCGATCATAGCTAACCACACGACTGACAAAGTGACGAGTTAAGACGCAAATGAAGTTCAATAAAGTCTACTCATTCAGATAGAAGCGAATGCAAACTATTAGCAAAAAATATTTAGTAGGCTTCATTCGTACAAATTATAGTCCAACCTCTATTCTAGTCCCTACTAACCACGAGACTTTGTATATCTACTTGTGAGTTAACATTCATATAAATTTTGATGTAGCCTCACTGAAATTATGTGTCTTTTCGTGTGTTAACATTTGGTTTATTGTAGAACGAAGTAATTACTATTGAGATAAAGAATGCGAAATAGCTTTTTATATGAGGAGGGGGAACATGGTGTTGGTTGTGATTTGCAACAAAGATTGATAAAGCATGATGGATGAAGGAGAAATGATGGTCGAAAAGGGGGTACTAGTGAGGATGAGTAGATGGACGCAACATCTTCCACTTCAAGCTGCCACCATCAACCTTGGGGGTTATCGACACAATCATAGATCAGGAGACACTGCTGCCAAACCGCCGACAAAAAAAAGAGAGATGACTATGCTTTCTTTTCCCTTACTAATACTCCGATGTCGTTATCCAGCTTCAGTGTCATTATCCAACTTACCTCAAACGCAGGTATAACAACAGAATCGCCTATCCAATCCTTCTTTTTAGAAGGTACAATCCCAACAGCTTAAGATGTCACCCCCTAGAATTATTGATGTACTAGCCTATATATGCAAAATAAACATATACCAATAGAATAAATCCAACTACAATTAGGTAGAGTGAGCCAAGAAAAAGCATAATCCACAACTTAAACCTTTGACATTGATTGTCCTTTTGTGAGTTGACAATTGCTTTGGAATGAAAACGAACAACCGGCGCCAAGACGAAAAATACAAAACAACTAGAGGCTCCTCCAATCTTTTCTTTTTCAAGTCTTGACCATCTCTAGCTCAAAAATAAAATAAAATTTCTTGACCATCTCAAACCGGGAATGCCTGAGCTGTGCGGCATCACAGTTGACGTCGATGAAGCCCCTCCGTTCCATCCCAGCCGTCCAGCCCCACCCCCCCGTTCCCCAACTCAAACCCCCACGCCGCCGCTCGCCGCCGGCCGCCGGAGGGCCACCGCCGATGACCACCCCAGGCGCGGCCACGCCCCCGAGCTTCAAGCGATCCTCCCCCAGGAAGAAACAGCGGCCCCGCAGCCGCCTCCTCGCCGCTGACTTCGCCGCCGGAGAGGCCGAGGCTGCGCGGGCGTTGGTGGCGGCCAGGGCCACGCCGTCACCCCTCTCACCGCCGGCGGTGTCCCCGCAGTCTGCCGCAGGTATGGCTCTGCCTCGCGAGTTCTTCGAGGTGGATGCGCTCGACCTCGCCCCCCGCCTCCTCGGCAAGCTCCTGCGCCGCGACCAAGTCGTCCTCCGCATCACCGAGGTGCTCGCAATCTTTTCTTTTCTTTTTGGCGTGGAGAGGTGCTTGTACTTGACAAATGCCGCATCTTGCTGGATCAAAGTTAACAATGTTGCAATAACTGGAGCACATTTTGATTGAAATGTGCCAGTAGCATCTTGTTGTGTAATTCTAGTTTGGTGGCATGAGCATACCTTATTTCTTCTCAAACTTAGCAGAGTAGTATCAACTTGTGTCGATTTTTGATCTATTGCTCATCTTGGTTTCAGGTGGAGGCTTACAGGCCAAACGATTCCGCGTGCCATGGCCGGTTCGGCATCACGGCGAGAACTGCTCCTGTGGTAAGGCCAGTGCTTCCTGTCATTGTTGATCTTGTGAAATGGTAATAGGGAGGATTTTGACCTTTGAGACCCGCTGAGGTTTTCCTCGTTCATGTGTTGTAGTTTGGACCAGGAGGGCATGCATATGTGTACCTATGCTATGGACTCCACATGATGCTCAATGTTGTTGCCGACGAAGAGGGCGTCGGAGCTGCTGTTCTGATCCGAGCGTGTGCCCCAGTTAGTGGTATGCATTCCTCACTGACTGCACATGGATATCTACCAGCAATTACTTTTTTACATGCACATATGTACTAACAACAAGTGAAATAGATAAGGATTTGGGGTGATTTGGTTTGAACCTTGACTGAAATTCCATGAGGCGCCTCTTTTTTTATAGAAGATAATACTGTAACCGCAATTTGTTGCTTTAGTTGAATGTTAGGGGCAATGCTGGAGTTGGTTCTTTATTCCTGATTTTTTTTTCTTCACCCAAAGCATTGCTGAAATACCCTTCTTATGTGAGAAACTATACTAATCTGAGTCAGAGAGTGTGTTTCTCGAAGCATGTGTGAGAAACATAGAATTTGTTTAGATTTACTTTTGTCGCCCCACTGCCAAAAGATGGGAGTTTACGAGACATAATTATGCGAGCAAGAGGAACATAGAAGATATAGCCATCTTTCCTCCTAAGTTTCCTAATTCCATAATACCCTAATTTGGGAAAAGAAGCAAAATGAGTTTTGACATTAGACAGCTGGAGTAGAACATCATATACCAAATGCCAGTTCCACAAATCAAATTACATATTTGCACGATAAATGATGTTCTTTTGTAGCAAACTGACAACACATGTTTTTGGCTGTGTAAAAAGGCCAATTTGTCCCCTGTCAGCACTCCTTTCTCCTTTGTAACATCTAGTTTGAGCTGAATGCTGCTACTTCCTATGAAATTACTGTAGGACTGGAAATTATTCAGCAGCGTCGTGGCCAACAAACCGAGAAACCGATCCTACTTACAGGACCAGGAAAGGTGTACACTGCTCGACATCAAAGCTTTTGTTTTCTGAATTATTATGGTTGTTCCTATAACACTGTGTCATAACTGTTCTTGCCTTCTTATTCAGGTCGGTCAAGCTCTGGGGCTTTCCACCGACTGGTCGAACCATCCACTATATACACCCGGTAAAACTGAGCTATCTCCAATATTGCCTGAATCTGTCAGATGTCGTCAATGCATATTTATCCACCATTTTGTTTTCTGTCTCAGGTGGGTTGGAAGTTCTGGATGCACCAGAACCTGAGAACATTTTGGTTGGCCCCCGTGTCGGAATCGAGTATGCATCGCCCGAGCATGTCATGGCGCCATGGAGGTTCGCCGTTGCGGGCACCCCATGGATCAGTGCCCCGAAGAACACTCTCAGACCTCGGTGAAGACCCGGATATGGTGGAGAAGAGTGACTCGGCCTTAACAACTCACCCAATCTGATGGCAGCACTTTTGCGTTGCCAAATGCACTGTGTTTATGCCCACTGAAAAACATGCCATGTATTCCATGATCTGGTCCATCTGGACTAGCTGAAATGAACAATTTGTACATAAGAAGCTTTTGTACACACCAGAGAGATAGATCAATGTCTCTTGATCATGTTTTCATACATTATATGATGAGCCAGGAGTTGTACCGATTATTCGTCGCCTACCCAGCTTATTTCCAAATCCAAGGCCGAACCATCTGCGAGTCACATCGCGGAGCAAAGTGTCATTCACCTCGCAGAACCTGTGCGGCCAACCAGCCGGCTCGACTGCCTCAAACCCTAAACCCGGGGTCCGGTCATTGGAACGGAGGTTCTTCTTGTCGGTCCAATCGACGGTGTATGTCGAAGCTCGGCGGCGGAATTTCACCTTGAACTCGTCCCAAGCTTGGTACTTGTAGTGGTTCACGCGAATTCGCGTGCTCCATTTGCTTCGAAACCCTGGTTGAAGCATGAAGTAGTGGACCGAGTTAGTCAGCGACCGGTCCACTGCGTCGAGCCGGACCAATGACTTGCGCCGCTCCATGACCTGCCTTCGGCATGTGTAGCCCTGGGTGACCCCCTCCTTTGGGTGCACGGTCTGGCCCGAGGGGCCAAAATCCGCGCACCACATGGACACCTGTCCAATGTCTTTTTCGACGGTTGTGATCGAATGGAGCATAGATTTCGTAGGGTTCTCTGGATGGACCCAGTGTGGAGAGAAGAGGAACTCGTCGACGTCGATGAAGACCATCCACTCGCACGAATCTCGATGCACCGCTGCGCCGTGTGACAGCGCGGCCTCTAGAGTTTTGGGCCAGGGCCAGGTCATAGTGAAGACTTCGAATCCGTCCGAGGTGAGATGGCGCACCTGGTCCACCAGGTCATCCTCGGTCCCGTTGTCGTAGACGTAGAACCGGTCCACGCCCACGGCCGCGTGGTAGACAACCCACTCCCGCAGGAACTTGGCCACGTCCCGGACCATGGTGCAGGCGCAAATCAGCCTCTTCCCTGACGGCGTTGATCCGGTCGCCGGCGACGAGTCGGGGCGCCGTGGAGGATCGTAGGTGGCCAGTGAGGGGATGGGCTCCTCTCCGACCACGGCAAGCGTGACGCGCAGCTCTCGGTCTACCGGAGTCGTTGCCGGTGGAGGCGGGCACCGGAAGACTTGCTGCGCCGAGGTGGTGGCCGGCAGCGAGGCCACGGCGTTACCGGCGTCGCCACGGTAGTACAGGCACCGGATGTCTGCAGCCGGGCGGTTGACTTTTTTCCGTCGGTTGACGCCCTTGGCGAAGACGAGCACGTCACCACCGTCGATCACGACGGACTCGTACACGATGCGGTCGCTCCACTTCAGCATCTCCGGCGAGCGGCCTGAGGCGCCATCGTCGGCGTTACCTACCGTGGAGGCGGAGAAGAGCACGAGCGGCGCGTCATGTTGCTGAGTCCGCGTTGGCTCGGGCATGATGCAGCTGTAAGCGTGGCGGCCGGTCGCCGGCAGCGGCCCGAGCGCGCGCGCCGGGGACGACGCCCCGCCCCGGAACACACACGTGGCGTTTTGTACGGGTGCACTGGCGGCGTCGGGTCGTCGGACCAGGGTGATGACCTCCCAGCCCGGAAGCAGCACGGCCTCCGTTCCCGCGCCCGCCGGCGTGGCTGTCTCGGCTCGGACGGCGCGGAGGCCGAGGGGCAGCCAGCGCGGCGGCACGAGCAGGGAGCGCGAGCGCGTATCGCGCAGAGGGAATGCAACGAGGCCGGCCTGGACGCAGATGAAGACGAGGAGCGCCGTGACGGAGAGGGCCGCGGCGGCGGCGTGCCGCCGGCGCGACTGCATGGTGCCTGCCCAGGCAGAATAGATGACGCACGGTTGCGGCGGCGATCGATGGGAATTTCACGCAGGAACTGACCAGGTCCGTCTCCTGCTTGTAGCTCGCTGCGCCGATGGGTTAGTGGCTTGCACGGATTGGCCACTGCGAGTTAAGCGACAGCGATGCCCATTTTGTTTTAGCCACCCACGAGGCCATGACCACGACGACGACGATGACTGCTGGAGTACGAGTCTACGACTACTAGTGCTCGTGCTTACGTACTTTGCAAATCAGTATCGTGCGACCGATTATTGGCATGCGTTACGTCGCCACTGAGCTAGTGCAGCGCGTGTAAGCCACGTTGTCTTCGTTGGCTCAAACCGGATAGTCAGTGTAAGATCGAAGTGAAATTAGGACACGAGGTGTAGCTAGCACCGCTCGTTCAGCGCCACGCAACAGTGCGCATAACAAAAACTGTTGAACTTCCTCCGCCTGTAATTGGCGTGATAACCATCGAGTTTATATATAAAGAAAAATATCTTGGCCAGTTCACCAAATATTTTGGTCACAATAGCCACGTTAAACCCTTTATTTATTCAGTTTATTTGCAAGGATGAAGAAATTAAGCTGCGAGACAGAAAATCTAAAAATTCCCTTGGGGGAGAATATTTGGTTTAAACAGGCAACACACATGCATATACACAACAAAAGTTGCAACTTCCAAGCTGCAGCTAAGTATTTTGTAATTTTGAAACAAGATTGTTACCTTCCTTGGGAACTGGGATCGAGCTGGTGGTTATTACGTAGTCGTTAGTGGGCAATCGTTGGGAGGTTTGGCTCCAGTTAGTAAGGAGACTAATGGAGGTCCAACTCTCTGACCAACCTGATGTATTACGCTGGAAGTTGACCAAGAATGGGGTATTTACAGTGAGGTCAATGTATCTTGATGTTATTAACTCAAGTTCTATTCCAACGTCCAAAAAGGTATGGGATGTTAAAGTTCCTTTGAAAATAAAAGTGTTTATGTGGTTTGTGCATAAACAAGTCATTCTCACAAAGGACAATTTGATAAAGCGTAATTGGACAGGACCTACTAGGTGTAGTTTCTGTGATCGAGATGAGACAATTAAACATCTCTTTTTTGATTGCCCGCTAGCTAAGGTTCTATGGCAAACGGTGCATATTGCCTTTAATATTACTCCACCCACCACGGTTACCGCTTTATTTGGGACTTGGCTTAATGGGATTGATTCTGCATTAGCAAGGCATATTCGGGTGGGAGTTTGTGCGTTGATGTGGACCATCTGGTTGTGCAGAAATGATTTGGTTTTTAACAGAACACCACGAATTCATTTTTTGCAGGTTCTATTCCGAGCTACGGCTTTGATCCGTTTGTGGTCGTCACTCACTCCGATGGAGGCCAGGGAGTATTTGGTTACTGGGTCTACCCGATGGGAGATGGCTGCTCGGATTATCTTCAACCGGTTTGGATGGCAGTCATGTAATAGGATAGGCAATTAGTTTTCCTATCTTCTTTAGCCAGCCGGTTGTGGCATTTTATTTCTGGCTAGTCTGTGTGTCGATATGGGCTGCATTTTCTTTGTTTGATTTTGAGACTATGGAACCTTGTATGCACACTTTGCTGCTCTGGTTAATAAGAGGGCCGTATGCATCATTCTTGATGCAGAGGCCGGGGTACCCCCCCTTTTCGAAAAAGAAAAAAAAAACTCCTAAACAGAGAAATGGTTGAATGAGCAGCCCTGGAGTAAACTAAGAGCCTGTTTGTTTCGGGGGAAGTAGTGTTTTAGGGAATGGGAATTAGGAGGGCGTGGGGTTTAAATTCCCTTGTTTGATTGGAGGACAGGGAAATTGATGATGGACGGGAATCTCTCAGCTAACTCCCACTTAAAAATTCCCATGCCTTTTCCTCAAGCTGCCAAACACGCTGTAAGAGAATTTACAATGGCCTAGAGTGAATTGTGCGAAAAGCTTCTTCTTCCGATTGGTCTTCCAAGACATTTGATTCTTGATTCCCAAGAAGTAACATAAAAAGAAAGAATTTATTAGTAAAGTAGTTCGAGCAAAAAAATTCTGCGGGAAAAAAAATGGTTCTACAGGCTGCGATGAGGAGAAATTGGCATAACACCTTATGCATAAAGGGGGTTTTCATATTTCGTCACACATTTCATCCTTTGAACTAGCTTATTTGGAAGCCAATTTAGTTGGATGCCTATGTTATTTGCAAGCTCATTTTGTCTTTTGAATTATTTGGAACCAAAAGATTAATGAGTCAAGGGTGACCAAACTCTGGAGCAAAAATGATTAACTGTTGGCAACAGGTTACACGTACAGTTATTATGAACAAGATGCCCAGCGTATGCAGCTTCATGCATGTTTTCATAGTTAACTAGAGAGTGAAAGAAAATATGAGTAAAATCTGGCAATGGACTCGCTAGAACATACCTGCCACTGCCATAGAGAATGAGTGACTCTCCCATCAGATCTAGAAGCGCCCTCTCATCACATAAGCATTTTCCTTCATCTTTGGACAGCCAGAAATACACACATTATTTATTTCTGCAATTGCATTTGCCCCACCAATTGACACAAGGTCTGGACAATCCTCAATCTTCAATTCCTTGAGTGACGTGAGATCACTGCTCCAAACTTCTCCTGGAATGGACACTACACGTGGACATTCAATCATCTGCAGTGAAACAAGGGATGCGAGGTTCTCTAGGCTACTGGGAACCCATGCGGAGATATCCCCACATGACCTTAAGTAGAGTCTTTGGAGGGATGATGGGAGCGCCAATCCACTTTGCCAGTTGATACTTGGGCAATCATGAACTTTCAAATCCTTCAGGAAAGGGAAACTTCCAAACGTTTCACTGGATAGGGAAATTAACTTGCCACAGCGTCCAACAAGAATGCTCTCGATAGCAGGTAGATATTCTTCTGTTAGAAGGTCATCAATATTTGACAGTTTCTCACAATCATAAATGGTTATGGAAGTAAGAGATGAGAATATCACGCTGGTGGTGCCTCCGCCACGAGAAATGTTAGTGAAGAAAGGTTCAGGTTGTCCAATAGATGTAAGAGATCTGCACCCTGTAATGTTCAACTCTAGTAGAGCTGGAAGACTCCACATTTGTGGTTCGATGGATGTCACGCAGTGACATGACAAAGAAAGGCAGACTAGGGACGAGCATTCTATATTTCCTGCAAGATTCCCAGAACTACCCAGCACGAGCCTCTCGAGGGAGGGCGCCACCAAACCATAGGAGTAAATATTTGGACAATCACTCACGTATAATTCTTCAAGGCAATGCAAGTCCTCAAACCTCTCAGTTGGCACTGATACTAACTTATTGCAATATTGAATTGTTATTTTCTTGATGGCTGGTACAGAAGCTGGATGTAGCACTTGTTCAAGGCTTGATACATTCTTGCACATGTAAATGGATATGACTGTCAGGGCCAAGAAAGTACCAATACTGTCATTATTGTTGTCAATTGGCACCGCACGCATATCATTTAGGTTTATGCGCTGTGAGATCCTGGAAAATGATATGCTCTCGAGTCCATCACAGTTATGCAACGATAGTGATGTTAAATTAGCTAAGTTTTGTGGCTGAAACCAGTTTGGGAGAGATACACCTGGATAACACCGCAGGAGCAGAGATTTGAGATTGATGGAAGGTTGTAGAACTTGAAGCACTTCAATCTCACTGTGCCCCTGTGTGGATAAAGACCACCCCAAGGTGAGGCCATTAAGATATCGCTTATTCTTTAGTTCAACCTGTGCTGCATGATCCTTGCTTCGCATGCTCAGATTGCATATCTCCAAATCTCCACAAAATTGGGTCACATTCTTTAGCAGTCTCATTCGTAGTCCCCGTTCACTGTCTGCATCAAAATTTAGTGGACAGTCTTGATCATATTGAAATCCATTTGATTCAAATCTCTGTAAGCTGATCAATTTACTGAAGTCACTGGGCAAGCTTTCTAGCTTGCATTCGCTAGCACTGAAAATCTGCAAATTATACAGGCAACAAATTGCTGAAGGAAGGCTGTCGAAAGGACATGCTCTGGAGATTTTCAGGTACCGGAGATGCTTCAAGTTGCCAACACTATCTGGTAACTCCTCAATGGCAGAAAAAATGATTACACGCATATGCCGAAGTTCATTGAACCAATGAACTACAACAGAAGCTACAGTCTTATTCCTTAAAGACTTGTTGCAAAATAGTGTACGGAGTTTTGTGTGCTTGCATAGACTCAGCAATGTGGAACGGTCAAATTTTGTGCTAGAGAGTATTGAAAGACGACGAACGTCCTGAGGAACTTTCTGGAAGTCACTCATATTTTTAATGACAAAGCAGTCATGCTCCGAAACTAGTTGTGCCATGTCATACAGCAAGTCATGTATTCCGTAAGTATCACGAACTTTCTGAAAGAAGGAACGTTCTACAAGATCTTCGAAGTACTGGCAGCCAATATCTTGAATCGGAATGTCACCTTGAGGTTCAACCAAGCCTTCTGCTACCCAAATTTCAGCTAAATAGTCCTTCTCAAATTTGTGATCTTTAGGGTATACAGCACAGAACGAGAAGCATCTCTTCAAATGGAATGGTAAATACATGTAGCTCAACCG